AAAAGAAACGCTACTATTATGTTGTAACGTCATTTTTTTCTGTTGAACTTATGTCAGATTTGATTTAACATTGGTAAAATAAAAACTAATAAATTTCATATTGAAACATATTTCGCATATATCAAAAATAATAATTATTTTCTGATCAAATTATATCAAAATTTCAACAGAAAATTCAGGTATCCCCCATTTACGAACTCCCGGACTTACGAACAAAATGTTAAAAGCTCTAACTTGTTACAAGGAGATATAAAGTGATAAAAACAAATTAAGTGTCGAAACAAAAATTGATAATTTCTTTAATAAAATATAGTATTTTTGGAAGATGAACTTTCTGTTTTGTTGAATTTATGTCTTTTGTTGTTTTTTTTATTAAATAATTGTGATGTCTACAGTGAAAAGTATTTGTAAGTAAGTATTTTGTTTATTTTAATCTATTTTTTTAAATTCTCCCCACTTACGAACAAATTCGACTTACGAACAACTATTTGGAACGGAACTAGTTCGTAAGTTGGATAATACCTGTATTGATATTTTAGGTTAAGTTGCTTTTGTCCATATTTAATTAGGTAATTTATATAGGTATACATTTGTATAAATCTGGATATTCAAATGATTATTATGATTAATAAGCAACAATTATTGAAACAATTAAACTAATGTTGCTTGACGGTTTCGTTTCTAACGTACATGTTAAATTCAGGTAATGTCAAACAAAATGTTATTAATAAATAATTTGACAACTGTCAATGTCAAACAAATTTTACTTATAAATATTTTGACATCTGTAAAATTGCAATGAAAAGTGACATTTCCACAATTATACTTTATTTGACATCTGTCGCTTAATAAATTTTTGACATTATCATATTGAAAAACAAGAACATTTGCAGACAAATTTGAAATACAAATTATCTAAATATTAGAAAATTGTGACATTCTTTAATACACCTGTTTTTTCTTATTGTAAAATTACATAGTTACTAAAGTAAAGTAATTTAATACAAATTTATAGAATTTGATGAATTTTCAGTTTTGAAGTTATGTCACATTTGATTTGACATTGGTATAATCTTGTAAACCTTGCAGTCCTATCTACATGCACACCATCATCCTTTCCGAGATTCAACCCAGTCTAATTGTACTGAACCGCAGAGTCCCGGTTTGAACATCGTCTTTGTGTGTTTTAGCCCCTTGTTATAATACACATGTGCATATGACCATTGGGTTATTGCTGGCGAAATTGTGCTTGTCACAAGCTAAGTGAAGGGATTGGAGGTTTAAAAAGAAGAAGAAGAAGAAGAAGATAATGTAAACCAATAAATTGTATGTTGATATTTTGACAATTCATTTATGTCAAATAATGATAAAATTTTACTATACAATTTCATTGTCCTATAGTGTCAAACTATGTTCATACTAAATATTATTTTTTTATGTTAGGTCACTTTTAATTACATTAGTTTAGATTAGGTCAATATTTCTTATATTTTACGTAAATAAGTAAATTGAAGCATCAAATTTTTACAAAAAAAAAATATCAGTGAGAAATCTGTATTTTTTTTTGTGAAATATTTTCCAGTTAATTCATCAAATCTTATATTTCACTTGAGTATATAATATTAAAACATCAAAGTAAAGATAATAAGTATAGAAAAAGTGGTAATAATTAAATCATTATGTGAGAGTAACGTGTTGAAAATTAAGTTTATATAAATTTTGTTACGGAATTTGTCACTGTATCAGTTAATTGAATATAATAGGGTAATTAGGTGCAATTATGCGATGTTCGGCAATAATTCCTAATCACGTTTCGGACATGGGAACATGTCAATAAAGTGAAATGATTATCGAAATCCGTTTAGCAATTATCATCATCTCCTCTGGCCAGCAGAAATCAATGACGCAATTTTCCCGCAACCCTCAGCAAATACGATCACGTAATGAGAACAGACGCATTACACGACCTGATTTACAAGTGCTTTTACCATAAAACATAAACACACACACAAAAAAAAATTTAAAAAAATACACACAAATGCAGTCAATTCATGCACTGAACTCGCATCAAAAATGATTAATCAACACTGCAAATGTGAGTGCAATTTATTTACACTTAATTGACTTCATTGATTTATCTAAAAATAGAGTTAAATTTCTTCATTTCATTATTAAATTTATTCATTTTACTCAAAAGACAAAACTAATTAATAAAAATTATGAAATTTCTCGTAATTTTTCAAACAAAGAACTGTTAAAGTAAACTGTCAGAGATATTAGGAATTAATTTTTATCATTTCTGGTTTTCTTCGGAAATGGGATTTTGAGTTTTAGTATGTGTTAAGTTATTTAAAATATTCCCTTGACGGGATGTAGGATAGTAAAACCATAAGATTCTTCTGTTATTGAGTTCTTCTGTTATCTAGTTCAGTGGTTCCTAACCTTTTCGTGCCATTTTCCACAAATGCTTATCAAAAATACTTAAGCCCCCTATATAACATATACATAATATGACATAGGGTTAAACCATTTTCGAATTGCCCACTTTGGCAATCAAATTGACCCCCAGTGGGGTACTACAATGGGAAACACTGATCAAGTAAGGGTTTATTTACCCTTTTTAGTGATAGATGTAACACATCGAATTGGGTATCATCATCTAAGGGTGTTTTATACAACATCTAATATGAGGCTTTTTTTTAAACAAACTTCACCCATTGAATTTTCAACCAAGAGACAGATTTTCTGCATCATTCGTTTTACAGAAAATTGATTCTTTTTATTGCTTCATAATAATGCTCAGGACTTACGAACACAATATCACGATCATTCTACAAAAATCAAAGATCAGATTGCACAAATACTCGAAAATTGTCTATTGCATTTTGACCTTTCATCTGTTCACTTTTAAAATAAACATTAATTGAATTTTGTTTAATGATGCAACAACCAACTTAATCTAATGATTCAATGTTTACAATGTCGCAAATATTGCTTCATATTACAGCAATGTAACGAAATGCAACGCGAAATAATTGATAAACTATTATTTTTTTTTATAATTTTTGACTTAGACCACTTTCATAAATATCCACTTTCACAAAATGAATAACTAAGATATGACGATTTTTTTCACGGCCTAACGTTTTATTTAATTTACTCCATAATCAAGTACACTAATTAGATCATCCAACATGAAAATTAAAGAAAAAATCTACAGCTTCGAATGAGCCTACATACAGATTTGTGACATTCACAGTTTTTATGTAATAAGCTGTCAAAGTTGACAAAAAAAAGTTTTCACATTTTATATAATCATAAAGTTTTATTATTTTTTTATTAGTGAGGTTTTCAATGTCACATTTTTTTAATATAAAAAAATAATTACTAATTGTATTTAGCGATTATTCAACTTATTTTCTAAATTTTCGTGATTTTTTTCTTGTCCCAACATATTTTTTTTGAATTTCATTAATTTACTTGAAAACCATAAAAGTTTTAAAATATATTTTGATTTAGATTTAGCAAATTTAGATTTTCATGTCTTCAAATTTTATTAGTAAAATTGTTATAGTTTAAAATTTTAGTAATATCTTAATGTAACTAAATAAAATAATGTTATTGTTTTCTTTAAAGAGAAATATTCCTTAAATTACTTGAAAAATATATTTTACAAGAATTTTCTATACAAATTACTTAATTTTGTGTAATAATTTTACAAAGTTTTAAATGCAGAAAGGTCACGTTTTATCTAATCACAACATTCTTATTACATTTTCAATACTTACATATCAATAAATTCTGCATCTATTAATAGAAACATAATTAATAACTGATTGAAATTAATTACAAAATTTTCCATTTTTTTTTCAAATATTTTATAAATTAACTTCCATTGCGAATGTTTTGATATAAAAATCGTTAGGTAAAAGTAATTAGTAACAGAAATATTTTGTTTTTTTTATGTGTTTAATTTTATTAATTAATATTAGTTAAATTTTAATAATTTTAGATATTGATTTTCAGTAAATATTTCATAATTAATAAATCTTTAAAAAAACTAGAAATTTTTTAATTAGCAACAACCAAAAAATCACAGACACGTGCCAAAACTTTCATAATCGTTCCTTCAAAAACCGCGATTAGATTGTTGAAATAGTGTGAGAATTTTGTTTGTTTGTTTCCTTTTCGATAATCCCCATTTGTCAATTTCTCATTGAGTAACTTTAAACATCTATGTGCACTCCCAAATGCACATTCACTTCCAATCTGAATCAGATAAATCTGAGGAAAAAGCAAAGATTGTTGCAATATATTTGACCATGCACGAAGAGTTATCCATATTTTATTATTAAATACTGTATGCAGAAGCTGCAGAATGGACCCATATACTGTACGAATCGCTCCCTTTTTGCGCGTAAATCTGAATGCGAATACGTTGGGAAGTTATTCGGAATTTGGGGGGAAAATATTGCTATTTAAGAGAATTTTATTGTTTCAGTTCAAACGAAATACATATGAATTCATGGCATTCTTTTTGATCCATAGAAATATCGAACGTATTGACAAAAAAAATATACAAAAGTTACAATGAAAATACCTCGCTTAGTCCGGATTCGATCAGTCCGGTTTGAAAATGTTCAAAAGAAACTCAATTTTAATTAAAGAACAACATGCGGTTCATTTTTATTTTATTTAATTACTCGGTTAGTCCGGTTTTATACAATCTGAGATATCCGCACTATGCGAGGTATCCTGTACATTGTTATCACAATATTTTTATTTATAAAAAATAAGTTATATATATAAAATATACAAAAATATGAAAATAAAACTAGTAAAATATTTTTTGGCTTTAAAAATTAAAATTATATAATTTTGATGAAATCAGTCAAATTTATAACTTTTGTTTATTACTTGATCAATTGTTACTTTGTAAATTCTTTATAAAAAAAATCTATCAAAATTTCAATCTTGACTAATAGATTTACTAAAATCTTAGTTATATAACTATGTAGGTCTAACAGCAAAGACATAAGTTGTGGGTACAACAATATACTGTTGATGCCTGAAACAGATAAAAACAAAGAATATTATATTGATTTTAATTCAAATAATACAAATCATGAAGATTTTCTTCTTTAATCTTTACTTTACTCTTCCAATACGTTCACACAGTTAACTATTAATGTTTTGTACTTATGCAACCAAACTCTCAAACATCAAATATGCCAATTAGAAACACGTATTTTTGACAGTTCTGAATCAACAAAATTATTTTAAACGACATTAAAGAAGATTCCATTAAATTCAAAAGCAAAATTACTTAGAACTGCAGCAGTATGTAAACCACTAGAAGTTATGCGAAGAATAAGAAAAAAATGAGGTAAGAGCAATTATCTATTTGTATTTGTGTGGGAAACTCTCATTCAAAAAAATATTCACTTTACAAATTTAACGTTTCAATAATTAAAGCATTAATTGTGTATATTTTGTATTAATGTTTATGTGAAATTAATCTAAATTAGAAATTCAGTTAAAAATTTTATTTGACAAATGTCGTTTGTCAATTCATGGAAAAGCGCATACTTTGTTAATTACTAGATATTTTATTTTTTTTAAAGTAATAGTGGGTGGTACACACAACGCCTTTATTGAAAAATAATTCCAAACTTACGAATTCCCATTTTAGTATAGAAAAATCGAAAATAAATCATTTTATTAATAACGGAAACTGTATTATGTGTACAGCAATACCTCACATAGGTAGAGCCGGGCTGTTTGAAACTGGATTAATTGAGGAACAAAATAAAATAGAAATAAATCGCACTAAAAGAGACTTAACTTGTATAAAAAAGTAGTACCTTTTATTTAAAATTTTTAAAAAAATCTGTAAGAATTTGTTTTTATTTTGCTCGCTTTATATTAAGTGTGTTTGAAGTAAATTCGGACTGATCGCAGCCGCACTATGCGAGGAATTTCATTTTATAACTTATTTTCAATTATAGGGGTCCACTTATCAAATTTGACAATTACAAATATCATGTTGTATGCTGTATAGCATCTATTACAATCATTTTTAAATGGGATTAAAGTGAATCCGGACTATGCGAGGAATGATGATTTATATCTGATTTAAATACAAACCACACTTCAAACTAGACAAATACGAATATCATGTTGTATAGCGTCCATTACAATCATTTTGAAACCGGACTAAATAGAAACCGCACTATACGGGGTATTTCATTTTATATTTTATTTTCAATTATATGTATCCACACATCACATATCAAACTAGACAAACATAAATATCACGTTATATGCTGCTTACCGTTCATTAGAATCATTTTGAAAACCGGATTGTAGTGAATCCGGTCTGATCGAATCCGTACTATGCAAGGAATTTTATATCTGATTTTCAATTATGTATGTCGACACTTCAAAGTTGACAAATACAAATATTACGTTGTATGCTACATAGCGTCTATTATAATCAATTTAATCCAGACTAAAGTGAATCCGGACTATACGAGGTACTTGCTTTTATATCTTATTTTCAGTTATAGGTGTCCACACATCACATGACAAACTTGACAAATACAAATATCACGTTGTGTTACATAGAGTTCATTATATTACTAACCAGACTAAATTAAATCCGGACTATTCGAAGCGGCACTATACGAGGTACTTCCTTTTATATCTTACTTTCAATTATAGTTGCCCACACATCACATGACAAACTTGACAAATACAAATATCACGTTGTGTGTTACATAGAGTACATTACAATCATTTTGAAACCGGACTAAAGTGAATCCGGACTGATCGAAGCCACACTATTTGATGAATTTCGTTTGATATCTTATTTCCAATTATAGGTGTCCACATACCACATGACAAATATCACATTGTGTGTTACATAGCATACATTACAATCATTTTGAAACCAGACTAAAGCAAATACGGACTGATCGAAGCCGCACTATTTGATGAATTTAGTTTTATATCTTATTTTCAATTATAGGTGTCCACACACCACATTTAAAACTTGACAAATATAAATATTACGTCGTATGCTGCATAGCGTCCATTAAAATCATTTTGAAACCGGACTAAAGTAAATCCGGACTGATCAAAGCCGCACTATCCGAGGTATTTCGATTTATTTCTTATTTTCAATTATAGATGTCCACATACCACATGTCAAACTTGACAAATATAAATATCACGTTGTATGCTGAATAGCGTCCATTACAATAATTTGTAACCGGATTAAAGTAAATCCGAACTGATCAAAGCCGCACTATTCGAGGTATTTCGTTTGATATCTAATTTTCAATTATAGGTGTCCATACACCACATATCAAACTTGACAAATATCAAGTTGTATGCAGCATAGCGTCCATTACAATCATTTTTAAACCGGACTAAAGTGAATCCGGACTAATAGAAGCCGTAATGTCCGAGGTATTTCAATGTATATCTTATATTTAATTATAGATGTCTATACACCGTACATTAAACATGACAAATACAAATATCACGTTGTGTGTTGCATAGCGCCCATTGCCATCATTTTGAAACCGGACTATTTGAAGCCGCACTATGCGAAGTATTTCAATTTATATCTTACTTTCATTATAGGTGTCCATACACCACATATCAAACTTGACAAATTCAAATCGTCAAATCGTAGTCGTATGCAGCATAGCATTACAATCATTTTGAAACCGGACTAAAGCGAATCCGGACTGATCGAAGCCACACTATGTGATGAATTTCGTTTTATATCTTATTTCCAATTACAGGTATCCACATACCACATGTCAAATTTGACAAATATCGCATTGTATACTGAATAACGGCCATTACATTATTTTCAATTATAGGTGTCTACACACTACACGTCAAACTTGACAAATACAAATATCACGTTGTATGCTACGTCCAATACATTCATATTACTTGTCGACTGTGGACGTAACACTCATTTTTTTTTACTTGAAATAAAAAGGACTCTTTGTACAGTGCTTTCAACTTTACGCATTGATCGTAAAGCCGCAGTTGTAATTCCGCAACAAAAAAAAAATGTAAACATCCATTCAGATGCACGCGCGTTGTCAAAGCGAATCGAAGGATAAAAGGAAGCACCTCGAAATACCCGAACTCGATTAATTTAATGAATTGCCGCTCGCCGCAATTCATGAAATGATCAATTTCCAATTAAGCCTGAAACGGTTTTATTTTCACCCAAAATTGATTTCGTACGAATTGCGTGTGTATATGCATATGTACGTATAATTGCGGCTGTAACGAGTGGAAGGGCGGTAATTGTCGTCGGCGACGGCGCAATTACCGAAGGGATGCATTAAAAAACTTATATAACAGCAACGCTCAAACATCTGCATGCAAATAGTAACTGCCGCAGTTACGTGAAACGACGTCTGTCTGAAACGCGGACGTTGCATAACGTCCAAGTGTTGCGACGTCGTTCCAATAAAAATCAAACCCTTTCCTTCTCAAAACCCATGACAATATGGAATTGGTTTTCTGTCTGCTAATACGAACGGATCGCAGCTATTTTCCAATAAAGTTCACTTTAACTTCTTATATCATTGACAGTGCCGCAGGAAGGTGGTATCAAATGGGTCCCAAGCGCATCAATCGTAGGGGCGCAATTAATAAGTAATAGTGTTATTTTCTTGAGGAAAGGGGCGCAGATTAAGTATTTTTTTAGAGGCGGAATCGCAAATTTGTTATTTTGTCCCATGCGCAAAATTTCCTTGCTGCGACCCTGATCATTGAAGAGTTTTCGCGCTCAATCGTAGGGGCGCAATTAATAAGTAATTGTGTTATTTTCTTGAGGAAATTAAGTAATTGGCCCCTTCTATTTCTTGTGGCGGGGCAGCAAATTTGATATTTTGTCCCATGCACAAGATTTCCTAGCTGCAAGAGTTTTCGCGCGGAATCAAAATAATATCGAATTCGTGGACGTATTTATGAATGCTGGGATGAGGGGCGGAAAACCAGTGGATTTATAAATATTCATTTCCACCTATAAAGCGCGGATTTACGTAACAGCGGCGTCGGTCATGAGTAATGAGGAAATAAATTTGGATATTCGTAATTCATAAAGTTTGGAAAAAGGTTTTTCACCCCTCCAACATCGAGGCTGAAAAGTAGCACGAACAAAAGTGAAACAAACATTGATCATTAGTATTTAAATAAACTCAAAATGTGGTCAAAATGAGTTTCCTTATATTTGAGGTTAGATTAAGTTTGGTTAGGTTTACATAAGCTATGTAAAAAGTGCATATGAAATAGACTAGAATAGAATATTAGTTGATCTTATTCCTGAAATATTTTATAAATACATGAAATTAGTATTATTTATATAAATTTATTACTTTTTATACACATTTGCTGAATCACAAATACTTGGAACAATCGAAATTTGTTTAATTGTTTAATGAAGAATTAAAAAAATATTTTATTTTTTTGAATTTTTAATCAATGAAAATCATTAATTTCAATTCATTAAACGGAACAGAGAAATAATAGAAAACAATAAGGAAAAATTCGTTCTAAATTATTGATTTTTTTTTTCATCATTTTCGTTAGGTTAGGAAAACATAGAAGAGAACAGAACAATTGAAACCAAATTAAGTCAATTTTCAAACAAAATTTATTATTTTTATAACGAAAATTGATCACAAATGTTGCAAAATAAAAATTCCGGTGAACTTAAATATATATATATATAGAAAATATTCGTTCGAAGAAAATGCTGCATAAAATAAAATATTATAATTAAAAATATATAAACAAAACATAATTAAGCTGATTTGTTAAATCACTAAAAGAAAACAAAAACAATAAGAACTAAAACAATAGAAAACAAAGACAAGAAGGACTAAAACAATAGAAAACAGAAACGCAATAATGATAAAAAAAACTAACAGATTACGAGTATACAGTCACCAAGTCGTACCTCACTTAACGTTATTCTAAGAATGTATTTAATTTCCATTACATGGAAAAAAATAATAAACAAAACAAGCACAAATAAATTTAATAAAACAGAAAATAAAGTACACCACGACAACATTTTCGTACCTCGCTTAACGTTGATTTTGTTCTTGCAGTAACGTTAAGCGAGGTATAAGTTGCATTGGCTTTGTGCAGACAACGTATAAAATAATAATAAATAAACATAAAAGATCACACAAATGGACGTAATTTTTGCTTTTTATATACATATTAATCACAGCGCCGTAGCTAAGAAGATGCGAGAGAGGCGGCTGTCACGGGCGCAACTAGATTAGGGGCGCAAATTTTTACATTTAAATTTGTATTTTTTGTATTAGAGAGTGCAAATTTGTTCCTTATCACGGGCTCTTTCTTCCCTTGTTACGGCTGTGATTAATCAATATAAAAGTAGTTCTCGCTTTACAAATTGAACGTGTTTTTATGTAATCATAATTTCGTTAAGTGAGAATAATTTAAATACTGTTCTCACTTGACGAAAGAATGAATTGTTACGTAAAGACGATAACTACTTGGACAAAACAATATAAATTTATCACTTTTCTCTCTCGAGAAAAAGATTTGTCTTAATTTAAAATTAGAGAATATAAAAAATAATAATCGACAAAAAAATATAGGAGAAGACAATAATGGTTAACATCGTTCTTAAAAACACAAATATAACTAAACTATAAACAAATAAAAGCTGTATTTTAGATAGAATTTTGTTAGTAGAGAGCATTTCTAATTGCAGCAAAGTCTATTCGCTAATTCTAATATAAACTAATGCATAAATTGATTCAAAATAGTAATGTATTCATTTTCTACACTTTTTGGTTTTTGATTGATATTAATTTCAGTCTATTTTTTTTATTAATTTCTAATTCTTCTCTAGATGGAGTTACAATCTGCTGGATGAAAAACTGTTATTATTAGTATAGTAAATTGCATTAATTTTTCGTTTTTTCATGCAAAATATGAATCAGTCAATCGTTTTAGTCAAAAGTACACCACTTTTCGATAGATGGCGTTTCCATCGAATGTGTCTATTTTGTAAAATTATTAAATAACATGAATCAGTCATTTTTTTTAAATAAAGAAATATTGTTATTATTGATGTACTATTTGAGAATTCTATTGCTTTGGGTTTGCAATCATGAACTTAAAACACAACAAATTTTTCACTAGATGGTGTTTCTATCACATTTGTAAAATTATTTAATATACAAATATTGTTATTATTGATGTAGTATTTCAGAATTCTAATACCTTGGGTTTGTAATCATGAATTTAAAACACAAACAATTTTTCGCTAGATGGCGTTCCAATCGAATTTGTGTATTTTGTAATATTATTGCATAACACGAATCAAATTTATTTTAACATGCAAATATTGTTGTACTATTTAAAAAAAATCTATTGCTTTGTGTCTGTAATCCATCATGAACTTAAAACGTAATCAATTTTTCGCTAGGTGGCGTTTCTATCGCCTTTGTAAAATTATTGAATAACATGAATCAGTCAATTTAATTTTAATATAGAAATATTGTTATTATTGATGTACTATTTCAGAATTCTAATGCTTTGGGTTTGCAATCTATCATGAACTTAAAACACAACCAATTTTTCGATAGATGGCGTTCCAATCGAATTTGTGTATTTTGTAAAATTTTTGCATAAAAAGAATCAAATTTATTTTAATATTCAAATATTGTTGTACTATTTAAAGAAATGTATTGCTTTGTGTCTGTAATCCATTATGAACTTAAAACACAATCAATTTTTCGCTAGATGGCGTTCCTATCGAATTTGTGTATTTTGTAATATTATTGCATAACACTAATCAGATTTATTTTAATATTCAAATATTGTTGTACAATTTAAGAAAAATGTATTGCTTTGTGCCTATAATACATCATGAACTTAAAATGCATTTAATTTTTCGCTAGATGGCGTTTCTATCGCATTTGTAAAATTATCGAATAGCATGAATCAGTCAATTTAATTTTAATATAGAAATATTGTTATTATTGATGTACTATTTCAGAATTCTAATGCTTTGTGTTTGTAATCCATCATGAACTTAAAACACAACCAATTTTTCGATCGAATTTGTGTATTTTGTAATATTAATTCATAACACGAATCAAATTTATTTTAATATGCAAGTACTGTTACTATTGATGTACTATTTGAGAATTATATTGCCTCGGGTCTGAAATCAATCATTAACTTAAAACACAACCAATTTTTCAATAACTTAGCGAATAGACTTAACTTTTGTTTAAAGCAAATGGAAACCTAAATAGTAGATTGTTAATTTATAAAAAAAATAAATTGTTCCCGACTTTTCGTTAGATGGTGTCCGAATCGTGAAATTATATAGCATTTTATGAAATTGTATGAATACATTTGGATTTAGAACATAGGAATTCGAAAATTGTCAATTTAGAAACAAATTGTTCTGAAGCTTTCAATAGATGGCGTTTGAATCCAATTCAGAAATCTACTTTGATTTACATCAGAATTTGCTTGGATTGCTAGATTTTCGGTGAAATTGTATGTGATTCATTTGGAGTTAGATAAAAAATCAAATGTTGATCATATCTAGATTCGTAGATTCAATTTTAAATTAAATTGTTTTTAATTTTTAACTAGATGGAACCCGAATCAAATTTATATAATTTCATCGTAAATCATCTAAAATTGCTCGTATTGCTTTTAAAATATAGTAAAATGAAATTAAGAAACTGTATGAAATACCTTTAGATTCAGATTTAAAAAAAAATGTTGTTCAAGAAATTCGTTTGATTTCCTTCGTTAAAGTATTTAAAAAATAATGAACTAAATGTGTTATTGGGGGTTTATATTTACGAGGTTTGGTTTTGTGATTGTCTCCGCTGCAGCGATCTGCTCCTGTTTAGGGCGCGTACAGCCCTTTCTGCTTTCAAACCTCGATAGAACATCACGAAGGCAACGATGCCAGCAATCTGCGAAAACAAAATGAGATTAGCTTATGGACTGGACGTTCTCGTTTGTTATTGTATGTTACTTGATAAAGGCCTGTGAGGAGTCCGACGAGCGCCGACTGCAACAATAGATCTTTCACGTACTGGTTGAAGGGACCACCGCATCCCGTCTGATGGGCTTCGCACGATTTTTTGTTAATTAAATCTTCTTGGGTGCAGTTCATGCACGACACAGGGATCTCTCCGCGCGCGTAATAATCTGCCGTTCCATTCAGACCGCAACAATGCAACTGAAAACATCAACAAAAATTAACGACTGCAAGCCGCACTACAAACAATTACATTTTCCACAGCCCACAACATCCAACCCCAAAAGAGCGACGCGAAATGTAAGTGCTCCATATCGATAATTGCAAAAGCTCGCTACATTTCCCAACGTTCCTATTTGTACATACATTTAGAAAATTTACACAAATTTCTTATTACTAATAAATATATGAAGATAAGTTCATCTATTAAAAAGCATCACTATATATAATATTTTCACTTATTATAACTACTTTAAAGTTTGTATAGTATTTGCACAATAATAATATAATTTTTTATAATATTTAAACTAAAAAACAAAAAAATTAAATTATTAAAATTTTTCAACTTTGTACAATTAGAAAATAATCAATAATGTAGAGTAATTACAGAGATTTTTAAATTTCAATCGAAATACAATTTTTAAGTGATTTATAATGAAAATATACAAATTCGACTGAAGCGACATCTACTGAAAATCTTCCCTAATTATTACATTTGCTGCAAGCACAAATATGTTATTTAAATTCTTATAAATTGAACAGAAAGACCTATGGTCAATAACCCTTTATATTAGTTGACTTTTTTTTAAATATTCTTATAAATATTTACAAAATTCAACTTCGATTTAGATTTAAAATCTTCCATTTATTAAATTTAACTGCACGATTTTAACGCAATGGATTTCAGTCGATAAAACAAAACAAGGTCGTAAAATGAAACTTTTAGCTATAACTCTCATATTAACATACATTTGTTTTTTTTTATAACAAACAAAAAACAAAAACATTACATCTACTTTGGTCTTGTTTATGTCATTTCTATTGAACTATATTTTATGTGAATATGTAAATGAAATTATTTAAGTAAGATTAATGACTTAAAAACAACTTTAATTAATCTTATAACTGTGATTAATGAAAATATACAAAAAAAAATGTAATAAATATTCATTCGAAATAATGCATTTGATAACTATTAACGTTTATCCCAATTAAGTCAAAATAAAATATTCATTTTAAATAATTCATATGATTCTTAAATATTTTGAATCTCCCGCACAAAATACGTTTTTCACGTTTCCTAAAAAATAAACAAGTTTTTTTTTTCAGTTCCTCGTTTATTGTCAATTAAGCAACGCAAATGAATATAAAGCGGGCAACTATGGACATTATATAATAAAATGCAAAACTATGCAAGCAATTACTGTCCGTACTGTAATTGAGATTTACGTCCACTGGTGTTTGCCATAAACTGTTTTTGTTCTTGTGTCAAGTTTTGCAGCAAAAAACCAATCTGAATATTCAACTGTTCAAGAAATTAATGAATAATTAACAATCTAAACAAATGCATCAACTTTTCATATCAATTAATTCAATATTTAGTTAATAAGGAAATGAAATCATCATAGCTTTCCAAAAAAAAAATGTTTATTAAATTTACTTAAAAATGTAAAAATTATTATAGAATTCCATGTAAATAAATTTTAAATATTAATTTCATATGAAAATCAAGTTGAATTATTATAATAAAAAAAACAATAAAATCGTTTCTTTTTTAATATAAATAATTAAAAGACGTTAAAATTGTCAAAAATTGATATGCCGCCAAATGACAGCTGTCACCTTACGTCAAACTGAGGATTTGGCAAAATGCAGTACAACTACAAAGCAAATACGTTGGGTCGCGCGACGAAACAAAGGTTGAGAAACGCTGTTTTAGACTAAAGACTTCAAGTTGTTAATGTAATCAAATACGAATTTTCTCATTTAAAATTTGATACGTATTACATTTGCACATAAAAATAACTTTGCATTACATAAATAAACTACGCATATTCAAGGCAACGCCGCATAAACAAATGAATGCAAGGCGTAAATTGAAATTTTGTCCTTAAGATTTTTTTATTTTTTTTGGTAATAAGGAGAAGCAGCATTATTGAATTTAATTGAAGAGAATCCAATTAATATTTCGTGTAAAATTTGCCGGCGATGTAAACTGAACGAGATATGAATGAATGAATGAAAAATTATTTTGTTGGACGCTTGAACCCAGAACAATGTTTAATAATAATTATAATCATGATGATGCGTAATTAAAATCGGAGTATGGAAATTGGAGCATTTATTCGCGTATAATTGCTAATTGTTCGGTGAAATACTTAATTTAGTTTCATGAATATGAAAATTATTATTTTATAATTTAACATTTAGAGCTTTAAAAAAAATGTTGTTTGAAGTTCTAGAATTATACGATTTGCGTAAAGTTTATATAATACGCAAACTGTCAAACGTCAAAATTAGAAACAAATATATTTTATTATATAATTGTTAGCACAAATTTCGATACACAGGTGAAGATTTCAAAACTCAGATCAAAATTAATAATATAAAACAGTATTGGTTTGATAAACACTAATTCGTGTATAAAACGCACATTTTTGGAAACTGTCAAACGTCAAAATTATTGTCATATACAAAAGTGATGAGTTGAAAACTTACAGCAAAATAAAAATCAAATGCAGTAAGCACTAATTTGAGTATAATACACATACCTTGTGAAACTGTCAAACGTCAAAATTCAAATCAAATATATTTTATTATATAATTGTTAACAAAAAAAAATCGATACAAAGGTAATAATATCAAACAGTATTGGTTTTATAAACACTAATTCGTGTATAATAAGCACATTTTCGGAAACTGTCAAACATTAAAATTATTGTCATATACAAAAGTGATGAGTTCGAAACTTAGAGCAAAATAAAAATCAAATGCAGTAGAGCTATGTTAAGCACTAATTTTAGTATAATACGCATACTTTGTCAAACTGTCAAACGTCAAAATAAAAATCAAATATACATTATTATATAATTGTTAACAGAAAATTCGATACGAAGATGATGATTTCGAAACTCAGATCAAATTAATAATGTTGTATTTTTTTGATAAACACTAATTCGTGTATATTACGCACACTTTTCGGAAACTGTCAAACATCAAAATTATTATCATATACAAAAGTGATGAGTTCGAAACTTAGAGCAAAATAAAAATCAAATGCAGTAGAGAATGTTAAGCACTAATTTGAGTATAATACGCATACTTTGTCAAACGTCAAAATGAAAATCAAATATACATTATTATATAATTGTTAACAGAAAATTCGATACGAAGGTGATGATTTCGAAACTCAGATCAAAATAATAATATTATATAATAACAGTATTAGTATGATAAACACTAATTCTTGTATAATACGCACACTTTTTCAAACTGTCAGACGTCAAAATGAAAATCAAATATACATTATTATATAATTGTTAAAAGAAAATTCGATACGAAGGAGATGATTTCGAACCTCAGATCAAAATAATAATATAATACAGTATTAGTATGATAAACACTAATTCGTGTATAATACGCACACTTTCTCAAACTGTCAAATTGAAAATCAAATACAGTAAAACATGTTTTTGTGCGGTAGATAGTATCCGCATAAAAAATCGCACAAAAAAATATTCTAAATTTTCTTAAATTCATACATATAATAATTTTGTATAATATATTACAGAAAAAAAATGCACTTAGAAAATACGTCAAAGATTTACGAAATACATGAGAAAGTGCATCCAAACAAAATAAATAATTAAATTTCACATGGAAACATTTAATTTCTCATTGTACATATGGAAAAATGTTCAAAAATGCACATACATAATTCACTGATACTCGTGTTAACCAAACCAAAATTTTGATGAATTGGTTCAAAATCGACTAACAGAATCGTTACAGTCTGCCCCTACATATGCACACTGATAGAAAACATTACAATGGTGCCAAAGCCGTTGGAATTGGTTGAATTTCATAAACCGCATAAAGAAAGGACCGCACAAAAACAGGATCTACTGTATACATTATTATATAATTGTTAATACAAAGATGATAGGTTCGAAACTCATATCAAAATAAAAACAAAAATCACATAGAATAGTTATAAGAATAGGATTTTATAAAACTATATTATTGTTCACTTCAATTATTAATGGAAACTCAAGTGTGTAATAAATAATGCTATTAAAAGCGTTGCCCATTTGATTGTAAACTATTTTGCTCATACATCACGTTTCGTGTAATATCGCCGATGAATCACTGGGATCAAGCATTTTATTTCCTCTGCGAAGTCCGTGCATGCTGAGTAATTACAGCACATGCGATGCAAATCCCTGCTTCAATTTTTTTCTCCTACATTGACAATTTATGTAACGAAGGACAGATATGAAATATACGATTTATATAAAGACACAAAAAGAACATATAAATGTTGACAATTCAAATCTGTTAAATTTGACATTAAACGTTAATATTCCACCATCTACTTGCTGGACAAAAATTGTACAATTACAATGAATTGTAAGAAAAGCGACGTTTCGCATAACGAGTGACTATGAGAAGAGAAGTCCCGGATTGCGTGCCTGCTAAATCATTTTTAAAACTTGTGTACACATATGTGTATTTTTGAATATGTTTCACTATACGAATATTTCACTAAACGAGTAAAAATCCGAAAATTTTGGAACGCTTTAAACTCGTTAAGCGAGGTTCCATAAGGTTGACATAAAATGTCAATGTCACCTAAATTGTTAAGATTTGTTTGTCTAAATTAGACAAAAAATAACAATTTAATGACATTTCAAGGCAATAACACGTATGAAAAATATTGATCCGATAACGCGCTTCGTCGAAATGCTATCTAATTATAGGTATTATTCATAAAGCAATAACTTGTAAGATTTGCTGCTATTCGTGTTAAATAAACAAATCCTGGTGCGGTTTTCCGTTACCCCGTTATACGTTGTTTTAATTTGCTACCAAATAAATACCGTTCCATTATATACGATATTTTGTAAATAATCAACATTTAGAAGTTTCAATGAAATAGTTCATTTCGATTTGATGTTGTTAATAAACCTTTTCCAATTTTGTTTATAAATATTTATAAATAAGTGTAAATATAAACATAAAATAAAAATGTCTGTTCTCATAAATCAATATTTACAAGAAATATTGATGATGTTCAAAATGTAATGAAAATTTGCCTGTTTAGTGTCGAAATAAACAATCCGTGTGATTTTTCTATCGGATTTTCATACTTAATAACTTTTGAGATTGTTTATTTTATGAGAAGAACATAAAATAAATATTAAATTTCTTATAAGCAACACAGGATGTGTTTATACGTTAGCAGAGAGTGCAACAAAACATTTGACAGCGGTGGGATTCGAACCCACGCCCTTTCGGACTGGTGCCTAAAACCAGCGCCTTAGACCGCTCGGCCACGCTGCCTTATAGAAATTTACCTTCTTCTCCAACATTTCCCACTCCTTCTTATCGTAACCATGGTTAATGAAACGAAGGTGAGATTCCTTCATCACTTCGAAACTTTTCTCCTCGACCTCCGAGCGCAGCACCAGCGACCAGACACCGATGGTCATCTCGACGACCATCAGGATCACCGACAAGACGACAAACTGCAATAACGGTAAAACCCATAAATTCTCATCAACATAGTAGACCCAATCGTCATTACCATGATGATGAAGAAGTCGTGCTCCTTGCTGGGACCTTTCACCCCCACCCAGGTGATGAAGATGTGCACGATTCCTACGAGCATGATCACAATAAACGGACCGATCATCTCCGACGGTACGAATTTAAAGTGGTAGAACACCTTGAAGCAGAGTACCAACGCGTATCCGACCATGAAGGCCCCGATGAGCTGCAAGAAAACCAAGGTCATATCAGCAAGGAAGTGAAATACTCCAATATTGTGATCTACACTCACGAACAGAGCTCCGGAGTACATCAGGCACAGAATTTCTTTAAGCCTGAGCGATGCCATCTCTTCACATCACTTAAACCTCACTTGCGCGTCTGGACGACTAATTGAACTGATGCCGTTTCTATGTTTATTCGTCTCGCGCACGCATTTCACTTTCGAATACCCAGATGGGGAATTCACATGCATTGGATGTGTGACATGCACAAACATTGAATCCGCTCTGAGCGCTCCATTGTTTCGCCGCATTAAATACCTCTCTTCCAATCCAGACATTTTAAGGTCAGTTACCTAATTTACAGTTCGTTCTAAGTAATTTGCTATAAATACCATCCAGCCACCTCTTTCTATAGGCAACCAACAGTACCCTCCATATATCAATTCCTTTAAACATCCAACATTCCATTTAATCATATACGATCCAAAAGAAACGAAGAGTTGCCTAAGAAACTTGAAACTTTCATCCAAAAACATTAAACAAAGTTGCTACCAACCGCAAACATCTAATCCAGAAACAATTTTACCAACGTAACGAAATCATAACAAACCCATGCTTCACTCAAAAACGTCCACAATCGGTTCAGTACACTATTTACCTGAAGATGGTAAGGACCAAGAACAGGTGAGTCCATAGACAACAACAACCTTTAACAATACTATAACTATCACCTATTTCTAGATACATTGTTGTGCAAATTGATGATCAGGGGGCAAATGGACAGGACAAGGGTTCTGCAGTATTCAAAGGGCAGAGCATCCAGAATGCAATCATTCATCATGTGCTGCAGATGCACGGGGATTTTGGGTTTGCAGCTGTGAAGGCTGCTCTGACTGTCAAATACATAAATGAGAGAACTCGAATAGCCATAATTCGGTGCAGGCATGGACCCCACAAGCTTGTCAGCAGTGTCCTCCCATTAGTGAACCTGTTAGATACCAAGAGAGTTCAATTGACCATCATCTACACTGGAGCCACGATACGCCAATGCCTGATATGCATAATCAGCTATCAGCAGAGAAAGTTTGAGGAGTTCTGCATTGGTATTAAAACAGAGGAGGAAAAATGTGAACTGAAGGAACAGATCATGAAATTGGAAAATCTGGGGAGGATTTAGGTTCTTAGCAATAAGAAATTGGTGAGTGGAAAAAGTAAATTAAATGGAAAACTTGTACTTTTATTTTACTTTCTGTCTTTTTATAAAGCTTATTATTAAGGTTCATTGTTATTGTCAAATTCTTTGTAAATAGCTTTAAATACCTACAACAATTTATATATATATATAACTCTTAAAATACTTATATAATCTAGTAATTCATTAAACTCTGATAGTAGTAACTTTAAGAAAATACATATATTTATTCCATTTATGATGATACTATAGGTGTTTAGATTGCTTTTTTTTCTCTTTGTTGTCTGGATCACAGATTATTCAAACTTTACCTTAAGTGGGTACATGATGGATAATGCTAGCTGCACGACGCACAGAAGGAAACCCAAAATGTTTTGTACCTGAGAAAGGAAATAAAAGAGTATTTTATGAATTTCATTTATGAAAGAAAGTGTAATTTTATTATATATTACACCTGGACTGTATTGAATGAAAAAACTGTTACCTGCAGAAACACAGTTTTTCACACTTTCATTCTTAATCTCTCAAAAGATTTTTCTGACATTTTACACCTGGACCAAATTAAGAAGCTTTTACCTGCAAGAACAAGGTTTTACAACTCATTGTTCTGATTCTCGGATTTAAAAAATAAATTTAATTTTAAGATTTTTTTATGAAATTGAAGTATCTTCTAATTGATGTATTTACTTTTCAAGAAAAGTGCATTGCAATATACGTGTTTTAAAGAATGTAATGTTAAAATACAGAAAAGTAAAGTAATCTAGAATTTAAGAGAAAATAGCTTTCTTTTGAAGAAGAAACAATGTTCTAAAGTCGTATTTGAAGACACTGGTTTCTGACAACGCGATACTTTCCAAGTATCAAATTTGTATGCGAGCGTTCTTCGAAAAAGTAATAAATACTGTTATAAGGTGCAATTTAACTGACTCAATGAGAACGTCCCGACATCTAAAAATAGTAATAGTTCAGCAATTGACATCTATTAGAATGCGCATGAAATTATATTGGAACGTTTATCGAAAATAATTCAAAGTTAATAAAAACAAATCTAAGAAGGGGAGAAAACAACTCAAATGTTGCAATACTCATGGTTTTGTAAGAGAAATTACCGTTACTTTATAAATAAAGATTATTTGTATTTTTTTGTATTCATGGATGCAAAAGTTTAAAAAAAGATTGCAAAGATTTCTTGTTTTTTCTACCTTCAAAATATGTTTCTAGGATGTAGATGTAAACAATCGTTGCATTATTAGAAGCACACTAAGCGGGTGCGAAAATGGAAAGTTTGGTGTGTTGAATGTTAACTGTTATTCCACGAATGAGATACAGGTAATATGAATTGTATGTAGAAGTGAACAAAAACAAAATAATTATACAATAGCAGTTGTAACCATTGCTTCTATCAGGTTTGACAACCAAAGAAAGATTGACATTTCAGGTACCTGATTTTTCAGAATTACGAATGAATGTCTTGTTAGTACAATTAAATGAATTAACAATGTTCTTTCACTTGGCAATACTTAGTCAAGTACTTATCGATTATCTAACAGTATGCTGTTACTTGTCCCGTTCACATTACGTTACTTGGCAATACTTAGTTAAATACTTATTGATCAACTGTATATAGTTACTTGTCCAGTTCATCTTACGTTACTTGGCAATACTTAGTTAAATACTTATCAATCAACTAACAGTATATAGTTACTTGTCCAGTTCATCTTACGTTACTTGGAAATACTTAGTCAAGTACTTATCGATTATCTAACTGTATGCAGACTGTACTTGTCCCGTTCACATTACGTTACTTGGCAATACTTAGTTAAATACTTATCGATCAACTAAC